TCTAGGGCTACCGCCTTGCTGCAGGCCCTTGACACCCAATGTTGGATGGCGAATTCCAGCAAGCGATGATCACTGTTGCCCACTATTCAATATATTTTATTTAAAAGTTCCTTTGCATTTACAGAAGTGAGGAGTCCCCTGATTAAATATGTATATATCAGAAGCTAGAAATAAAGAATTCAAAAGGACATTCATGGGGTGCTTTAATTGGCCTGAGCACTTCACAAGTATTTCTGAAGGGTATTCTAATTATTCTCTGGTACTAAAAAAGTTTGAAATTATTTCATAAAGACTTTTTTTTCTACAGAAACTTTCCCTTTCTTTCTTTTATGTGACCAATAAAAGCATACAAATGAAACTTACAAAGGTTTCATTTGATTTAATAAGTTATTGAAATTAAAGTATTTCAAGTTTAAGAGATCTACCAAGTGAAAGTAAAGGATTGTAGGCAGACAAAACAGTTTGTATCAGTCATCAAGGAATAATTTCAAAGTGGAAGTTTGTATTTTTTAAAAGACATTTTTCTAATACTAAAGAATTTTGGAACTTAAGTGAAGGTCATTGAACTGCATCAGAAAATCTATGTGCTTTCTCCAAACTGCATCAGGAAGAATCAGAGTTGAATATTATCTAAAAAAATGGGAGACTTCATCAGAATCTTTTATTGTTCTTCTCTAGGTTTTATGCCACTTGCTTTTTCTCTTTTTCCAGAAGGTATATGGAAGATTTTGGAAATCTTGATGCTCAGCAACTGTTTTGTCCAGTTGCCATGGACAGAACAAAGAAAGAAATCTGACAACTATAGAACGAAAAAGAAAATACTGAAATTATTCCAGTTTAAGTTAACAATAGATTTAAGTGCTTTCCTCACTCTCCTAATTTAAGACAAGCTCTGAACTGTCTTATATCCAGTGAAGTTGGTAGTGAGTTTGGCCAATTTTTCTTCAGCACCCCAATAAAACTTGTGTGTAAGTTTGAATAACAATAACAATATGTTTATCTATGTATACATATAGAAACTATGAGATGGAAATACATAAATGTATCCATCCAAAATTTTTCTTCTGAAAATTTGGATGATTTTACCATTATGTTGCAACGTGAATATAATTGCCTTATAGAACTGGAACTATACAATTAGAGATTGAGATATATGAGATATATATGCAACACTGTCATGTAGAAAATGTATACCAGTTCTTGTGCCACATTATCACCACAGGGTACTGTCAGTGGTGTGAGTGAAGAGATAGCCAAACAATAAGCACAAATAAGAAACATTTTCATAGCTATTCATGTCCCAATAACACCAGAACTAGAAACTGAATTTCCTTTCTACTTCTATCTGCATTCTATAGTTCCCTGCCCCCCCATCCCCAAACAACAGATGGAAGGCTCCCAGGATATTTAGATTTCATAGATT